TGATATCATGAATGGACCAATGTTAGACCACCATTGAAAACCTAGAAACACTGGATGGCCGTTTCGTCCTAGTATGGGACTCCTCAGTAGTGCACACCCAAGATCCCATATGCGCGTTATGTGGTCACGACTTCTCTCTAAGAATTCAAAGAATCCATTTTGAGCTAGTTACTAGTGGGCACATGATAATTATCAGTATAGGGTTGTGGAGATTTTTGAGTTTAGATTGATATAATGAATGGATCAAAGTTAGACTATTGACCAGTGGAGTTCAACCTTGTCTGTTGTGAAGCAGTTACTCACTGAAGATAATGCTGGACGGTCGCGCAATACCGTGGATTGGTTAAAGTTTGACATTAACACCGTCGGATGCCAGCTCAGTGGTCTAAAGGTTCTGGGTTCGGGAACAGCATGCGGGATCGTGGATGAGCCCTGCTGAGGAGCCCCATACTAGTATGAATTCTCCTTATTTTTATTTAGTGACACAGTGGGTTCTTTCGATTATCTGAGATTGTTTTCTTAATAAATTTTTTATCAAAAAAAATAGAATACACAGAAAACTAGTTGGACATAATCAATATGAGAAGTAATATAACCATGTGACCTAAGTATAAAGAAGTTGCGTGTAATCACTAAACTACAGTGAAATGAATTATGTACATTAAATATTATTTTTATGCAAATAGACCATTCAGTTAGATATTTCCAAGAAGTTATGCCCATATTAGACTGTGTCAACTATATTTGCCATTAAATGGTGTTGATAATAGTACCAACAAGTTTTTAAAATGAAGGGGCTTTATTCTACTATCGAAATCATTCAATTTTAACAAATTTATTCTATGAAGATTTCCAATGAAATGTTAGTATTATCAAAATGAACCGTTATTTAGGAGTCTTTAAATCATATATATTGAGAACTCCAATTCGATGGGACAACATATACAGTGAAAGTCACAGTGAAACTGCGAGGCACTAAATCCATTACTAGTATTGTCTAGCCTGTAATCCAGTTCTCTATATTTGTTCGTGAGTTGTGTATCTGATGTAACGTTTGTGTATAGCTTACTGAGTGAGTAACCAACACATGTAGTAGTATAAATCTCGGTCTCCGTCGTATTATCCTATCAAAGTAGTATACAGTAGCAGTAGTAGTTGTATCACATACAAAAGTGATTGCTTAGAATAGGTCTTTAGTAGAAAAGGTAACTGAAATATTTGCGCATTTGAAGAAAAAATAAGTTACTCAGAATTTTGATCAGGCCACCACATAACCAGAGAGATGTGAGCAGTTAGCGGTAAACACTCCTTATTTTATTCTTCAATGTATACGGCCAAGTTATATTACGGTGACGCTAACAGACCAAATAAATAGCTTTGAATAGTCAATTATTATATGTAGTAAACTATATGGGACATAATATATGATTAGTAAATGATGAGTTTAACTGTTTTTCAGTGGTAACATGTCAACTATACGATTGATATATCCTGGTAAAAATGAATTTATTAACGTATAATATTCGAGTTCAAATAAAACGGTTGTTCAATTGACTTATGATGGTTTAACTATCATAGTATCAACATTTAAAGCCATAGGTACTAGGTTAAAGTCTTAGTGTGATTATCAACACTGAGATACAGTTAATTTCAGATAAATAGTCCTAAACTTAATGAAACTTGTGTCTTGGATCCTATGGTTAATTAAAAACCAAATTCAACAAAAGATATGACCGAATTTCTAAACATCTATTTTTTCATTAAATTCGAAATTTCAACTCGGAGTAATCCAGTCGCTAAATTATTACTTTAGTATATGAAACCTCTTAGAATGAACTTCGCCGTCAAATATAAAAATGAACGACATTATTTTTTAGTCGTTAGAATGCTGATCGGGTGAGTAACTCAATCTATAGATGAATATAACCTGGGTGAATTATGATAAGTTAATAACTGAAATTCTACTTAATAAGGATGTCTTGGTATCGAATTTGTTTTAAAATATATAATCACTTGACTACAAACTCATGTTGAATCATAGCATAACATTACGTCCTAGTATCTATTTTATTGTATTGCAAGTTCGCATCCTTACAATCAGAATCGACTCACCGTCCGAGTTTAATATTCGCATTAAATTATTCATATATTTTTCTAATTAAACGGTACTTTGCAAATGGAACACGGTTTATTTCCAGATTTTTTGGAGGTTCAAATAGATAACCTAACCATTTTTTTCTGCTTCGTAATGAAATGAGTTTGGATAAACAACGATAAGGTAGTTGGACATTTTAGGCTTATGTGTTTCATGTATTACGGAACTAAAAGATTTGTGGGCTAGGAACATACTTACAAAGACATAACACTCATTTCCCAGATTTTTTTTACTTTGATAGTACCAAAACTACATTGAGATTAAGTAGGTATCTGATTATCTTGGATTAAGTGAATTAAATCATTGTCTTTCCAATTTGATGAAAACAGGCGATTACTTTATCAATCATACTAAATTTCATTATTTTTATTTGCATTTCTAGCTACTCATTATTACGTAAGTAGCAAAACTAAAATTAGGGATAGTGTCACTTTAAATAGTTCAGCTTTCATAAGAATTAAATTTATTTACTGTCTTTTAAAAGGGATTTGAAAGGATATTCATTTGACTACATATGCATTCGTAGATTCAAAGTGCAGCATATCAGATTACATAAGTTTTATTCGTCAATAGAAAATATAAACAAATGTAATCGAAATATGGCAAAACAGAAAAAGTCAATTGGGAGCACATTTAATGTTAACCATTTTATGCCCAGAAACCACCTCTCTTATAACCCTTACAGGATTAAAAATGAATGTTATAACTAATTATCATAAGCGATACTAGAGTTGCCAATGAGATTATCAATACCCGGTGCTTTTCGCAATCGAGGCACAAAGTTTAACTAGTCATCTAGTGAATCTTCGATTAGACTGATGACTAAACGAAACTAATATGAAAAAATAGATTAGCACAGGTCTGCTGTTTTTTGGAAAGTATAGGTCAGCTATATTCTGTAAGTTATCAACACAGAATTTCATTTGTGCAGTATTGAATACAGCTATGGTTACACGTACAAGATTAATTATTTCAGACTAACAAGTTCAGGGCTTGCTTCCTGCCCACAGAACTGATAAACAGCCAAAGTAAATTTCGAGTCACTATTATAGTATATTTAGTATTTTTCACCCGGATAGGTGCTTACGATAGTTTTGTATTCTATTTGAGTTAGGATTTGTCCGGAACAACAATGGAAACTTCTCATTTAAGCCACTGACAAGTTTTTTCATTCATTTTCACTAGATCAGAAGATGTTGGTTGATAGCATTGTATTCCCATGGAGAAAAGAGAAGATATCAGTGTATATTTTAAAGAATTTCATAGCCTTTCTTAATGTGTGTTCAGCTGATCTCAGCTCGTATTGATTAATGTATGTATTTCCGTGTAAGCAGTTTAAATTCTTACGAGAGATTTATTAAAAACAATTATAAGTTCTGACAGAACGCTTGATTTAAAATATTTTTCTCATTCTAAGGTATATTAAGATAATATGTTAACACGATAATGAGACTATTCACATCATGTCAGATCCAGGATTCCCAACCCAGAAAAGAGAACTGAAATAACACTAGATAATACTTTATTCAATACAACTACCAGCAGTCACACTCAATAAGTCAATAACAAGAAAGGAAATCACATATTTACTAATTAGTAGGTTAATTTGACTGTTTGTCTACGCTCATTGATCACCCTCAATATTAAACATCAGGTTCCTGTCCAAAATTCAGCATACTATGATAATAACCATTGGTCAGTGAATATATATTATAAAAAAATCATCAATATCACTACTTTATTTTCCGTGGACGAAGAATAATATAACTTGAAGATTGACGACTTTTAATTATCTGTTTATTGTATAGAAATTCTTCATTTGATTGAATATCAACATGCTTTGACACATACGGATTGTTGTTGTTATTGTTGTTATTATTATTAGCAGCAGCTATTTTATCTTGTTCCTTATGAGAATATTTATATAACAATATATTACTATTATTTACTTGTTTCTGATTCATTCTAGGTGAAATATCATATTTTTGATGATTTAGTTCATTCAACTTTTCATTTGATGATAAAGTTTCTATTTGTTTATTCTCCATAGATAAATCAACAGAATAATCATTAATCTTATTCTGATTTGGATTGATAAACTTATTTATATCAAATTGACTTTTATCATTATCAATGTTATGATTATTATTATTATTATCATTAACATTAGATAAAGGTAAAATATGATCATATTTTTTATGTTCTGTAGTAATTTCAGTAAATTCTTTTATATGTTTCATTGTTTCACTTTCAATAGTTTTAAATTTATCAATTCCAGGAATAATTAAATAATTCATTTTAGAATATGATCTTTGATAAGATGGAAGATAATGATTTAATGAATAATCATAATTACTTAATCTTTGATTCAAATAATTGGAATAATAATAATAATCATTCATATAATAATAATATGGTAGAAGCTTTTTAGATGTTGTAGTGTAAACTTTTCCTTGTACTGAATAATAAATCTTAATTAGATAGTAGAAAATCAATAAGCTTATACAATACATAATGTCCATTTAAACAAAATATAGTACAGTAATATAAATGAGCATATTTTATTGAATAAATACTTGATTTCTTTCTTTTTATATAGTTATAATGATTATTATTTGATTTTGATGGATCAAAAATCAATATCGTTAAATTGTTGTTATGCACTTAATAAATATAAAGTTTGAAATCTTTTTCTTTTTTTTTTCATTGACAAACACTTTTTTCTCTCCCTCTCTCCGAAATTCATTGAAATCGACAAATATCATGAAATTTATTGAGTTTTTAATGTTTTGTCAGCTGAATAATTAATAAGATTGATAGTGGTTAGCAGTGGAATCCAGAACGTGCGTTTCGTCCTATTTAGGACTCATCAGCTGGATGTTACTTTAGTTATAAGTTTCCTGCAGAAATATTTCATCTCAGGTTCTTTCCATGGATAAAATGTTAACACCAACTGTATGATTATGAGTTAATTGACAATGTGTATGAACTTTGGGGGCTCATATCAAAATAATAATGACTGAATAAAAATGTAACTCAAGAATTTAGATGAATATGCCAGTTATAAACTTCAAAGTTCTATCAAATAAACCAAAGCAAATTATCAGTTGACTAACGAATAATTGACCGAAGGTGGGCAGATTAATTATCTAGAATAGAATTGTGATTATTGGAACAAGTTGTGTAACATAAAATAATGAATGCTATAAGGAATGAAAGCATTAGTCAACCGGTCACTTAATAACACTGATCATGAAAGTATGAGAGGAAGAATAAGAAAAAAATGTTAAAAATAAAAGTACCTTTTTGGAATGGGTCATTCGACTGATTAAATAAACAGGGTAAAGAAAGTAATCGTATCAACATCATACGGATATATGGGCAAAGTTTGTCTATATAAACGGATTTGGCTTATATAATATATAGAATTCAAAATACCGATGGACTGGGACAGGTTAGATGGATTTCAATGGGTACATCTTACGGCCAACATTACATGAACATTATGTCCAATATGTTGTGACTGGCGGTGTCCGAAATCTGATACTGATACACGGTGTTATAAGTGCTAACACCCCAACGTACTATTCGAGCGAGAACATAAGAGTAAACGAGAAAGTTTATTGGGCTACCGAATGAAATGTACAAATACTCATTATATATATATATACCACTCTATCCTTAGGAAATTGCCCCCAATGAAATGCGCTTAACCTTTAGGTTAATTCTGGTTACCATCGACTGACCTTTGGTTACTCCTGATTGACTCTCCACAGCACAATGTTACTAGGTGCTTCAGAATGAAGCTCCTTATCTATTCATTACTGTAGCATGAAGTGTAACGTCTAAACGTGGGAAATTTCTTGTTTGAATTAGATTTTATGCTCATCAGCTGTCATCAACAATGGATCTCTTCAACTATAGAAAACCTGGTTCTAAATGTGTAACAGTATGAACACTAACCATCATCGTGCCTGCACTTCGATAGTGAGGGAGCTCTGTGGATCAACTTCGATAAGTCTTCATCAAGATATTCATTTGAATATCTCAGTGCATTGTATACAATATCATCTGGCCAAAAGGCTATCTTCAAGAAGTCATGACTGATCAAGATAAACTCATACAGTTTGCCATTTAATAATCCACTGTCTTATCTAGTTTTACCGCAGGTCATCTGTCAAGCAATGTTTAGAGTTACTGGGTGCTAAGTCATTTAGACTTCAATATTCAGGTGTATTTCACTTAGCTGAAAGATGTAGATAATCTTATCAAGTCAATGGCGATGATTGTGAAGCTTGACTCTAAATATTCTTACCGATTACATTCAGTAAAATCATTCTAAATAGGTCTTCATGTAATATCGGTCAAAATATCTTGTTAGTAACATTTTTATTGGAATTCATCCTGCTTAATTATAACAGGATGAAAAGCCTATGGCACTGAAAATATACTCGGGAAAAGTTGTAAAAACTATTTCATATCATTTCTTTAAACAAAGAAGATAGACATTCGAAAATTGTGATTACATTATGAAAGTTAGTATAATCTCTTAATAATGATGTTATCACTACACAGGATTGTTTTTGAATAATTTGATTGGTTGATATTTATGTTTTTCTGATTTTAGCAAAAACTCTTTAAGCAGTTCTCAAACATCTCATTACTACTGTCATTTCACTCTTTATTCACATGATAATTCAGTTTCTTTGTTTTACGAACTTCGTAAATATTTTTATATTGCTGTAAATTTTGCAGACGTCTCCTATTGCTCAATGAATCCGTTCTCCGATCATTATTATTATTATTATTATTCTGGTGATTTTCTTCCTGATGATTATTTTGTACTTTATCGCTATAGTATTTATTCTCTATTTTATTAGATTTCATGTTTTCCCTAAACAATTTGTCCATATCAACATCATAATTCTTCAAATCAAACTTTGCATTGGAATTTCGATCAGTATCTTCAGCATATTTATTAAATAGCTCACTTAAATCGGTGTTGCTGTAATCGCTTGCGACAAAAACATCATTATTTAAAACTTCTTTGTTATTGAAACTGCGTGGTCTATCAATTTCAGTATATTTCGTAATACTATTTTTAGGTATGTGTTTAAACACTTGACTAGTTCCACTTTGTTTTTGAATCGCTTTTTCATATTTCATTGTCTCTTCATCTATGTAACCGGATTCTGCATAATCTTGACCTTTCTCCCCAACATCGGATTGGTCATTATTATTTTCATAATCATTGTTGCTGTTAAAATAATTAAGATCTGGTCTCCTGAAGGGGTCTTCATAATCTCCGTTATCTATTGAATGTTTTCCAGAAACATCATCATATTTGTCAGTGTTGAATGTTGTTCTCTGTTTTAACTGAGTTACATATTCGGACTTTTTGTCAATCTGTGTCTTGAATTTCGGTGAAACAACTGTAACATAATCATGATTCTGCCCATTGTTTGATTTATGAGACCGTGAGGAACAGTAAGGAAACAGAGAGAAACCTAGTATCATCATCTGTAAAACATTTAAAACCCAATTCATTCTTGTTAATTTTATATCTTTCACTGATATATATATATATATATATATATATATATATATATATATATATATATATATATATATATATATATATATTCGTTGTGATTATAACTATCAAATCAAATTATTCTCTTATCAAATATTGAAATAGATTACAACCTCATAAACATTTCCATACTATGCGATGAACTATTGATCGTTATTCAACTGTTCAATATTCTGAATAACATATCATGATGCTTGAAGCCTATACCAAATATGTTAATTAGATTTTTATTAAATTTCAATATTTTTTTTGTTTGAATGAGTTCTTCTATGCTTTTCAAACTGAAATATGCTGACAAACCAATTATATTTATTATGTTATATATAAGTCAATTTAATAACCAAAACTTTTAGTCGCTTTAATTCAACTCAATTCGGAGTAAGTCAATAAGACTCGGTTGAGCTGATGATATGATGAGTATATTTATTTGACTATCAAATAAGTTATATGACAGCCAAATAAAACAACTGATAATTTAATTGAATTTCAGAACTGGTTATCTGTTGAGTTAAAGCATTTGTCTAGAGATAACTATTTTGAATGATCATATGAATCAGATTTTTACGTAACTTACGTCGTCAACCGATAAATTTCTTCGTCTATACAATGAAGATTACTAGGTTGATAAATCCATTTTAACTATCGTCAGTTAGAAAACGAAATGTAATTCTTCAAATATTTAGGTAGTCATACGTTAATTTAAAGTGATTTTCTGTCACATGTTGAATCCACAAGACCATTACAAATTTATGACTGCTTTAATCGTTAAAATCCTGAAATAAAAGACAGCTCAAATAGATGAAACTATTGAGGAAAATGAGTAAAATGCATTGAATTTAAAAACCTTGAATTGTATGGTACTTAGAAAACAAGAATCAAATTGAAATTATAAGTAGATCTATCGAGTAACCAAATAAGAAAGGAATCACAGTATTTTTAAGTAAGAAAGCCATTTTATCGTTACATCAAGAAGAGATATTAGAGGTTAACGAAAACGAACAAGGTGTTAAGTTTTCAAAATAGTAAATTCTCTCATAATAAACAAAAACGATATTAAACAAAGTAAAATGGGTCAAACTTAATTGGAACTGTGTAAGGGACCTCAAAATTGGTCTGTAAACTATTAATAATAAGATTAAAGTTTTACAAATGCTGTGCAGAAATGATTGTGTTTTTCAAACTACTTTTAATTAGTAAGTAGTATGATCATCACCCATAAAATCCAGCACGATTGAATAAGCAAGAATAATTAGAAAACTACTCAAGCACAATTTCGCCAATAACACTTTTAGGGTTACAGCCAACCCCCAGCTCAAATAAAGAGAGAGCAAAGGGTATAGGCTCGGCAACCTGATGCCGTAAGAATGACGCTGTCAAAAAACGTTAACCAGAAAAAATAACATAAATCATTGAAATTTTACCCTGAGAGTTGAAGGATTTTCAACTAGACAAATTAAGGACGCATCATAGAGGAATCCGAGATAATTCGGAAACATCAAGGCGAATGAATCTAATGGCGATAAAAAAACAATATAGGTACGTGACTTTGATGTCTACAGACAGTTGTTTTGAGTTCCACCTATACTTCAGCTGTAGGAAATGCGGCCCTTACTTTCCCAATACTTACATTTACGTCTGCATCAGATCCTCCTTATTCATCGATGAAGTTACCGAGGTACGTGAGTTTCCACCTCTTCCACAGTTTCTCCATCAGATGTGATTGTGTTGGTGTTATCCGTGTTGTGTTTCAGGATCTTGCTATTGACCTTGGTGTGTTGAGGCCTATTGATGCAGACGCTGCTACTACACTGGTTATCTTGACCTGCATTTTTTTAGTGTATTATTATTATTATTATTATTATTATTATTAATGGCTTTATTCAATATTATATTTTGGTACAATATAGAATTCTCAGCTAACTAGGTCATCTGTGAATTTCAAATCGTCTAATTGCGTCCATGCTGTCCATTGTATTCCCCTATTCTCAGAAATCGAGGTCTTCACAATCCAATCAACCACAAGGAGAAATAGAAAGGGTGAGAGTAAGCAGCCTTGTCTGTCTCCGGTCCTGACTTGGAATGTGTTTGTCAGTTGTCCTCCATTTAAGACTCTGCACTGTAGTCCGTCGTATGAATTCCTGATGATGTTGACCATTTTTTCAGCTACTCACGATTTGGTCCGTGGGCGACCTATCCTTAACGAATCCAACCTATTAATCTCGGAATCGTGTGTCTACCGAATCTTTCATCCAGTTCAACAACACTGTTGAAAACTTTTCCTGATACCTATAGTAGTGTGGTGCCTCTATAGTTCTCACATTTGCTGATATTTCCCTTCTTTGTTATGTTGATGAGGTATCCATCTTTTTATTCTGTCAGCACTTATTCCTCTTCCCAAATCTTCCTGAATAGAACGTGAAGCATTTTTGCAGTTACATCTGTACCTGAATTCATTGCTTCAGCTGGTATATTGTCAGATCTTGTTGCTTTCCCACGCCTGGTTTATCTGATGGCCATCTTTATTTCTTCGATCTTTGGTGGAGTGGCGTTTATAGGACGGTTTATGTGTGTTGTATTGATATCTATTCAAGAATACTCCAAAGTGTTACACCAACCTGTTCTTCTGTTCTTGAATATCAGCGATTGTCTTCCCTTCTTTGTCCTTGACTGGTCTCTCTGGTGTACTATATTTCCCATCCCATATGATCAGTCACCCATACTGCGCCAAAATCCAGTCACCTGTAAAATATAAAACGTCGGCGAAATGTGTAACCTGCTTGGAAAACCGCCAATGAAGCCATCTAAGAATGTCACTAATAAGGCATCAATAGGAGTGCTGAAAGTTGTTGGCTGATTACAGTGTGAATTTTTCTTCAATGGAGTTAACTGTAAAGGAATATACTATCTAACAAAACGGCCAAACCTTGATCTCCTTGGTCTAGATATATTGAAAAAAATTGGAATAATGGATACACCCAATAACAGTGTCTGCAACGTGTCATGTTAATGATTGGACACTCCGATACTTGCAAAAAAGACAGGTGATGTTAAAAGATCCCGTAAAATGCTCTACGGCTGAAATTTATTGACAGATCACAAACTTTAAATTGTGACTTTTGGTTCTAAGAAAGGAATCCCTGTTCATACGGCTAACAAATTACAGCACCGGGTAACGATGCATCTGAGCTGTGAATTCAACATCAAGTATCAGTAAACAAATATTATAGGTGAAGCCGATGCTTTTTCTCCCGATTGATATGAGTCCAACACTCTGGACCGGAGGACATGATCATTGCCTCCATAGCAGTAGATCCAGAAATAAGGTGTGTAGTAGCAGATTCCAATTGAAACACTCTAGTATCATTAGAAGGGTGGCCCTCGAAGATCAGCTTCACGGAGCTTCACCAGTCTTACGAATACAGACTGTCACTCTCAATAATCGATGACTGCCTTCTGTTTGCCGAACTTGTCATAATCCTAACCAGCAGATCTTGAACATTTTCACGCAAGACGTCACGTAAAAGCAGCTATCCTCTTAATGTACCAAATACTCATTAACAACGAAAGTACCGCGGAAAGTAGAGCTGCAATCATGGCCAATACCACAGTCACCATGGTAGCGTATACACTTGGACTTTACTGATCCAATTCATGGACCAACATACCTTTTGGTAGTTAATGCAAACGGCAAGTGGCTAGAAATTTTCTTCATGAAATATCCAGTTGCAAGCTGCATATTCAGAAAACTACTTCAACTATTTAGTCGTTTAGGGGTTCCAGAATTTTTAGTTACTGAAAATGGAACACATTCCACGTTTGATATCCTCTCAAAATTTTGTCGGCAGAACGGAATCAATCATGTCCGAGCATCTCCACCCCTTTCCAGATCTAATGACCAAGTAATACTGTTTGTTGGTACATTTAAAAATGCTCTGCGAAAAACCAAAAGGAGAGAGGACCGCCGAAGAGATTGTAGAGAGCTTCCTGCTTATCTATCGTTCTACACCTAATCCTCAGACAACTAACTGGGTCTGTCCAGCAGAAGCTTTACTTGGAAAAAAATAATAACAAATTTCGATGCCATTCGTCCTACGCAAGCTCTTCAGCCTCAACGTAACATCGATGGAGAAGTAATTCAATCAACATCATGAAGGTCAAAGACGATTGTTCACGGTGGGTCAAAAATACTTATTATGAACTATCGTGGAAAACATCCTACATGAATATCTGGCTGAATCGCGCAAAGAACGGTAGTGTGGTTTACAAGTTGTCAGTTGACTCAGAAGTTTGGGCGCGTCACGCCAACCAACTGAAAACAATTTTGATCACCAGCAACGAGACCCGACATGGAATACATATTAATATTCTTCTGGACACATTTGAAATCCAAACCCCTGGAACAGACAGATCATTCACTGTGCAGGCAAAGAGTGACACCACTTCCTTATTGCCTAGAAGGTGGACAAATCGAAGGCACAGACCAGTCACGCAGTCGCGGGTGGACACTAACACCAGATCCTACAAATTTGCTCAAAGGAGAGATGTTAGTGGGATATATACTGGATTAAAGTATGTTTCGTGTAGGATTGTGTTAGGACACACTGATTGGCTATATCTTATCCAATCAGCCCTAATGGATACTTGGTGAAGACTCTAGAATCTTCCTATGTAAAATCTATGAATATACTAACGTTTTTCTTATTGTGAATCATATTTCCGTTCATCCTTGTTATTTGAGATATAAATGCGTTCTTGTTCAACCGTTTTCTTATTAGGGGGCTTGTCGAATGAAGTAGTGTTCAAGAATACTAAGTAATAGGAGTGGTTGGGTCGTAATAAGAGAAATCATAACAGTACCCCAATAAGGTATTATTACATTCTTGATCTAATATTTAATTGAGATGTCATCCAACCATCTGTACAAATGTACAATGAAGTTGAAAGCAGTGACCATAAAATAGTGGTTTGTGCTCTCATTATCAATCCTCTTATAACCGACCCACACAAAAATCCCGTCAATATAGAGACTATAAGCATGCTGACTAGGAGCTCCTGTGCTCACTGGTTAAATTCTCAGATTGGGATACTTTTTTCTCATGTAATAGTCTCATGGATGCCATCACTAGATCTTGTTTAGATTTCTGTGCATCTCGTATAAAGTACAGAGTTAGTAAACCTAGCGACTTTTTCATGCCAGTGAAATATCGTAATAAATTAAGACGCTGCAGAAACGTCATTTCAAATCAAGCGATTTAACGGCAGTTACACAGATAACTATAACTTTTAGTCAAATTAACAAAAAGAACAAGTTAAAAGTCATTAATGAGCGGTTCTTGGCACTTAATGAGAGCTCAAAAGTACAAAACTTAATTCTCCTTTTCAATAAACGCGTTAAACCAACTCAAAATACAGACATACTATGGATCCGGCATAATGACATTTTATAAACGGCTTTAAAACCATTACATATCTTTTCAGTGGTATTTTTACAAGCAATAATCAATTCCTAAGTCGCTCTCTTTCCAAAGTCATGTTTGTGACTAGTAACTTAATAAAATCTATTTCTTTCACATACCTAGAAATTAGTAAAGTTATAAACTCCCTTAAGGTTTCAAGTGGTGATGGAGTAAACGAGATTTCATCTATTCGCCACAAATATGGTGGACTAGATATTCCACTTCTTCGTCTAAAGCTGTTCACTCTCTCTCTCTCTCTGTTGGAAAACCACACATATCATACCACGTGAAAAATTTGGAGATAAGACTGACATGTACAATTATCAGCCCACAAATATTACTACAGTTACCTCTAGCATTATAGAAAAAATTGTTAGTGACGAATTCTCCAACTATTTGCTTACTGAAAAACTTATCAATCATTCTCAAAATGGATTTCTTAAAAATCGATCTTGTATGACCTGCCACTTTGATTTCTTTAATTCATTCTTTACTCAACGTAACCGCGTATACCTTGTCTTAGTGCCATAATCTGACACTTCTAAAGCTTTCGATATGGTTAACCACCAACTTCCTATAGATAAAATAGCTTATTATGGGTTCTGAAACCTTCTGCTTGTATGGTTTGATCACTTCTTCAGCCAACGATATCAAATAATTAAAGTTAATTCTTTCTTGTCAAACTCCGTCCTTGTCAGAAGTGATGTAATACAACGTAGTGTCTTAAACCCTTTGCTCATTTTAGTTTTTAACAATTATATTTGTTAATGTTTTTGTGGGGGTAAGTCACTCCTATATGCAGACGATCTTAAAGTAGTATTTTGTTCTCTCCTAATCAGCCGAACAATATGCAAAATTGCATCAGCATGGAGCCTAAAAAGGTAGCGCAGTGGTGCTCAAAATGACAATTGGAACTTAACACGACTAAATGTGGATAGATATGTTTCGGTAATACATCACCCAACTTAGATTTTACCATAAATGGTAATGTGTTAATTAAGCTACAAACAGTAGTGGACTTAGATACTACTACAATTTGTCCTTCATAGGACAGGTCTCGAAACAGACCTTCGATTCCCAACGGTTTATGGGTTGCATGTTTCAAAACCTCTACAACGATTCACGTATTTTGATAAAGTATGGGTTCGACCATTCCAAGAATACCGCACCTTTATTCCTTTTACTGTTCGCATAAAGTATCAATTAAGGTTGAAATCCGTTTAGAGGCGATTTAAACTCGCATTCTTTGGACTGATCGTACCTTGGGTTATAATTCCAGATGTATTAAACTTCAGCTCGACCCTTTATGGAAGAGGAGACTCAAACTAAATCTAATCTTTTTTCTTCAAAACACCTAATAAACTATCTTACATTCAGTAAAGTGATTCAAAATACAGTAACTCTTCGTTACAGCATGCTTAACTCCTTGTCATTAGTGAGACAAACACATCCTAAATCATCTCTCTATATGAAGTACTTTACCAGTAAATTATCCAGTCTCTGGAATAATTAACCGCAATCTATCCATGAAATAAAGTCACTTCCGTTCTTTGTTCGCTCCATTGATACTTACTTCTCCTCTCGAAATGATTTATATGTTCTTACACCTGTATATCTTATTCCACAAGTGAGATTATAGGAAATTTGAATGTTTGAACATTATTATCACTGAATTTCCTAGGTAAACCTCCTTAGTCGCTGTTACTTTACACTAATGCCGTCCCTTGTAACTTTAACCAATTTGAATAATATCTAACATGAACAGTATATCATAAAATAACCTGGTAGACCTGACTGATCTATCATAGTAATTATTGCTTTTGTTCTTCCGTGCTTTCTCCTTCCTTTTTTATTTTCTCTAGTTGTTGGTGTTTATAATCAATTCATTATGGTGCAAAAATGACCTTAAATGTACTGTTCATACATCAACAGAATGTCTACATTGAAGAAAATTGAACTTTTCCGGTCGATGCATTTCATTGCTACATGTCATAAATGTACTACTTAAATAATTTTTGAACTAGTAAACTTAAAATAATCTTATATCACATGTTTGTTCTCTACATTTAATGTCACTGTTTATATCAAGCTGATCATACCTGTAAACTGGAGTGAATTCTGTAATTATTACTTTCAGAATATATATATTATTTTACATTTCATTCAGTTTTGTGGAAACGAAGGTAATTTAATTGGATTATAGACAAGTAGAAAGGTTCCCCAGGACAGGGTGGATGGAGAATGCTGGTGAGCGGCCTATGCTCCTTCACGAGGAGTAACAGGCGTAAGTAAGTAAGTAATAGACAAGTATAGTTGATAAAAACAAATTTTCACAACAATCCCAATAATGTTGGTTGGAAAGATAATATATGAAAACTCTGATAAATTTGTTGGACAAAATCTAGAATGAAGGGGATCATAGTATTGAATTTATCTCACTTCTACTCACTGGTCCTATTAGTTTAACATTATGGGTAGATAAAAATTTGGAGGCAGGTAGAGATGAATCTGATTGGCTTAATACGACATGACCTTCAAATCTCCTCTCATTCATTGGGATTGATTTCTAAACATAACATAGAAATATTTCTCATTAATGTTGCTGAGTAGATTTTTGTTCGAAGATTTACTTCGGCTTAGAAACATTGTGAACGAAAATATAAAACTCTTTACTGACCTCGAGATTTAGTGAAGAATAAAGATTAAGTTGTAACGAAATTAAAGATAAAAATCATAATAGCCATTTTATTCTCTCATTTCGTTTATGAAATATTGGAGTTTATTTTATAGTGAATGTGATATGCATAAATTATAGAAGCGCCCATATTGTCAATAATGTTTCCTTTTGTTAAATATATAATTTTTACACTTTTTATCGTTATCAACTACAATTTAACATATGGTCGGAGAGGATATTTTAATCAATTTAAACGATTTGATACTGGTCTTCTATCAGAAGGCTTACCAATGTGGCTAGAAAAACGTGAGGAATTTGAAGCTCCATATAGCCATGATAGTAAGTTAATAACTACTAGTTCTGTATCATTTAAATTACATTGTATTTTCGTATTCGCCTGCTTTTAAGCTTTTTCGTGATGTATAAACTGTTGCTATATTCTGTGCCTTTCTTAAGTTACTGTTAAATTATTACGAACGTGTTACTCAGTTCACTTACACTTATGGAGTAGTTATGCCGTTATAGTAATTTCTTAATTTTCTTTATATGTTTATGAGTTTTGAGTCATAGTTGAATTGAGTGTAACAAAGAACTGACCTACTTTCTACCTTCATCTTCTGTTTGGCCACTGGGTCAGAAGGGACTCGAGGACCAATAATTGTTGGTGTCTTTGTTGTTCATCTGTCAATGTGTCAACTGGCGAACAGGTCACCAGTCCTACTGGTAATATGGGTGAACTAATAGATAATCGGATTGTAAAAAAAGCTGGAGCTATTTAGTAAAGTGTGAAAATCATACAATAAATGCTTCATTTGAAAATCGTCCACCAATTGTCTCAAATTTCATTGCCTTTATAATTATGCCCGTTTTCTTCAATTCGATCTTCACGACTTTCTGCTGCCAGGTACCTCACTTCTGGTTGGTGTCACATGCTACTTATGTCGACATACATAAGTAGAATTCACCACAAAACTAGAGTTAGAGGTCACACAATTGCTTTTCTGTCATTACGGCCCAATCACAAGAGACCCAAAATAATTCAAACCAAGGAAACATCCTAATGCTGTTTCCTTCCGATTGAATACAGACTGTTCGCTACAGTTTGATAATACTTCAAAATGAATATTCTGATTCCATTTTACCAACAAAAAAAACATATTCTTTGACTTCATGACTGAGAATATTTTTGAGTGTCCACTCAACTTTGTTTGGTAAAGAGTCACAAGCTGTAGGACTAAGTAGTTAAGATGAGAGTAACAAACGAGGTCAGTGGTAATGAATAAAGCTTCCAAATTTTCTTAAAACTATAGCTGGGTGGCGTATCAGTGAAGATCATAAGTTTTATTCCCACGAAAGTCTATAGTTCATAACACAGAAGACTCCTAAGGTGAAGCGAAACAACTCTGTCCTGAGCAATCCTCTCCAGTTGCTATTGATCCTTTTCATACTTGTTTTCAATTCCCAACGTAGTGTGTTCTTCGGTCTTCCCGCTTTCTGTTTCTCTTCGGGATTCCAGGTAAGCGCTTGCCTCATGATGAGGATGAAATAGTAATGCATAGGTAAAATTACAAGTCAGTTAAATACACAGTTAACTTTCACTTCCTTTTTATAAAGTACAAATATATAAAAGAACAGAGTCAATTAATTAAATATTGACTTTCTGACAACTTACAACTGTAAAGTGTAAAACTGAAGGATAAATATTACAGATTAACATTTTGTTTTCGGTTAGCTTAATCAAGATAACATAACCACTGGGCAGATGTTCATATAATTAAACAAACTTTAAATTTGCAATAATGAAATAATACTCATCGAGTGGATACGTTACGTAATAATTACATAGTGAAATTAACATTGAGTTATTGGAAGAAAGAGGATTAATAATATTCAAAGTAATTATTCGAAAATCAAGAAGTTGCTACGTTGCATAATACATGAAAAAGAGAAGGAACAAAATATTTTAATGGATGGTCAATAGAATAGTAGTTATGTAAGAATCAAGGGATGAAAATATAAAGTTAAAAAATACCAAGTTAAAAAAAATGAAAGGAGTACGAAAATAGTTCTGCCGCAAGCACCCTTATACCGATAGCCAAGGCAGCGAAAGTGGTTGTACAATTCTTTTTTTGGATGCAAAGGTTAGGTATGTGAACATGGATTGCGATGGCTTCCGCATCAAAATTTGTTAACCGATTTAAGTATTTATTTTGAAAATCAATAAACTGTTCAAACTAACTATTTACAACAAATCTTTTAACCTTTCCAGGTATTTCAAGGGCACTGAAAGATCGCAGTAATTTGGAACTCGATGAACTAAATCGAATTATCAGTTACAGCAACATTAACCATCCTTTCTTAGAATATTTTGATAGTGAATTAAATCGTAAGTTATCTGGTCTATTTTCTTTTAAATAGTACCTAAGAGTAGAATTTAGAATAAACTATGTGGCATTTATACACATTTATGTGATATAATGAGTAATTTAAAATATCTTCACTTAACACAATATGATTTTGTTATATGATAATGCGATCCGTGCCCGAATTTATACCACCACTAGACTGAATACTTAATCGATGCTCTATACTCAGACTGGGATCACATTATTTCAGGTACACGATTCATAATCAAACAAATCATTGTGTATGTCAAGATGATCATGCATGTAGTTTTCAAAATGCATTATTATTATTATTATTATTATTATTATTATTATTATTATTATTGTTATTATTATCATGAATAAAGGGAGAACCAGAACATAGATCAGACAGTAGATTTATTTAACAAAACACGAGTAGTCCATGCACGTAATGAGCACGTGGTAGGAATAAATTATAGGATGACTGTACTTACTGAAGCCTGATGGGAAGGAGGCATATATATGCGCGTATTCAACACTCTAAATACTCAGGAACAAACAGATTCATGTCGTATTAATTTAATTTAATAGCTATCATATTCAATCGTGATTCATTTTCTTAATTAAAGTTTCGTATAGAAGTAGTGTAATAAAATCATGAGTAAGTATCCACCAATGGTGGTTAATACATGGTTAAAAACTTTATTTCAAATATAACAAGTTTACAGAAAACAAAATCGTAACTAGACAGTTATCTAGTAATAGTATAAACGTTTTTACTTAACATTCCAAATGTTTATGAAAACAAAAAGTTTAACTTACATAACTTCGATGTTAGGGAATATTTCCCATTTTTTAAGCTGCATTTACGTTATTTTCAATTAGGTCATAAAAACATAATGCAACTATAGTCAATCAGTTTAGTTTGTAACGTGTATATGAATACCAAGGTGAGAAATTGTGAAATTGTTTGAATATTTATTATCTCAAAGTTCGTTCAATACATAAATAACAACAAAACTCTCTCGCCAACTATCGATACATAAAAGAAACGATTTCATGTATAATGCGTGAATGAATAAACAATTTAATAACCAAAGTTATGTGAATAAAGAACTCTCATAACTGTCTGGATAGATTTCTGAAGAGAACGTGGAACTTCGCTGCACTTAGATATAAATCTGAATCCAGCGCTTTAGCTGGTACACTATCTGATCCTTCTGCTTTCTTACTCGCGATCTGTCTGATAACTTTACCAACATCTATTGTTGGTCCAGTATTATCTATAGGATGTGTACTGCTTTGATGTCCGGTGGGTTCAATGGTTCTGGTCTGCTCAAGAGTTCGTCAAAGTACTCTACCCAACCGTTCCACTACCCTTAATCCTCACTGCTTCGTTTGCACTCTCTGTTCTTGATTGGTTACTCTGATCTACCAAATTTCTCTTCTACCTTATTCGTCCTGTCATATCGTTGTCTGATATTTCCTTCTGTTGTGGCTTTTTTTGCTTTCGTTGCTAGATCTTCCACGTGTTTCTGCTTGTCAGCTCTAATTCTCTTCTTCACTTGCTTGTATGCCTCGTATTCGGCTGTTGTTAATGCCTATCTTCTTATTCCTCGTTTCTTGAATCTTGTCTAGGGTTTCTACAGAGGTCAATTCCTTATAATGATGCTTCTTGAGGCCCAGAACCTCCTGGTATGTTGAGGTTAATGCTCCTTTGATCCATTTCCAAGTGTCCTCTAAAGTAGATTTCTCTTCCCTGAGTAGATCTTGTAAGTCATCGAACCTTTTGTTGAGTTGTATCTTGAATTTGTTGAGTCTGTCAGTATCTGTAAGAAAGTCTGTATTGAAACTTTGTAATGCTGTTTCTCTAGTTGCCAAGTGCTTCTTTTGCTTCACGTTCATATTGGCCACAACCAGGTGGTGATCTAAAACTACTTCAACTCCTCTCTTTGTTCTCACGCTTTTCATTGACAGTCTGTATTTTTTTATTGATCCAAATATGATCATTTTGATTCGCTGTAGTGTAATCCTGTGACCCCGATGTAACCTCACATTTGCATTGATGAGTGGAAATGCTGCTATGTATAACTGTGTTATTGAAAGCACATAGGTTTTCCATTCTCTCAATATTCTCGTTCTTTTCCCCAAATTCATATCACTCCATGATGCCTTTATACTGGGCGTTAACCATCTCAGATTTGGTGTTCCGATTTCCTATCAGGATGTTCAGTTGCCTTCCTCGAAAGTTCTCTGCGATCGACTTTAGCTTCATAAAGCCGGTCTCCATCATATTCGCTGCTACGATTAGCGGGTGCATAACATTGGATGCCACTCATTGTGATTCCCTACTTGTTTGAAGAGCAGCAATGCAACTGGATGTGTGTGTGTGTGCAAAGCATTTTCTAGTTCATGATCAGAACACAACAGTACCTGCTCCGAATTTGATCCTTCTGTCCAACTTGCATTCAATGTGTCCCACTTTTCCGAGCAGCGCTAGGTTGTAGCTTTTAATTTACCCATCCATTTGACTGGTCCTTCCTGTCTCCTAAACTGTGCGAAGATTTCATGTACCTATGTTAGTTATTGCTCTGGTTGCTAGAAAGGACATCAGCTCCATGATTTTCGAAGGATCTCGGATTCCACAATGGGGCCTCATAATTCTCCTATATGAAGACCCAGGAGAGATTGTAAATGGTCTAAATGCTTTTTTTATGATTGGCGTTGCTTTTAGAATTTTTCCTTTTTACATTGCAGAATATGTTTCTCATGCCCAACCCTCTATTTTTACCCGGGCTTAAGACCGGCAGTAATCCTAGAAAGTTTGCAGGACCAGTTTTACTGAGTTGCTGAACTACGAAATATTTTTTATACTAAAGTAACATGTCAACTTTGAAAATATAGTCCGAATTCCTTTACTTAATATTTCTTTATGAGCATGTTATTTAATTTAACAGTATGCCAACTCTAGAAATTATTTACGATATTTTAAGTTCGAGATCAGATATACATTTTCCTTCTGTTTTGCTGCCGTTTTAATTATGCTTAAACTATTATCCACTTAATAATACTTTCTTGAATCAACGTTTTTTAATTACAGCAAGTGTTTATTCTAATGATATAATAAATCGTGATATGAGAGCTAAACCTGCTTTTGAAGCGATAAGTGGTCTACAAAATAATGGATTACGATCTTATATGAATTGGCAACCTGCAAGTGAGTGCAACGTGACATTTATTTTCCTTACTCACAATAATTATTACAAACCCAGTAATTTGTTGGGCCTATGCCTAAATCCCACAAATGTTTTTCTCTTCCAGCTCCGACTACACAAAGGAACATTTATTGTGATAGAAATCAACAAAGATTAGTTTAAGCAAGCAAGGTACATTTCTAAATACATACGCAATGATTTAAGAAACAGTGAAAAAAAAATTAGAACGAAAAAAGTGTATTTAAAACCTGTAAAACTTAATGAGGACAGTAATTATATGGAGATTATAATACTTAGTATTAAGCTCAGTGATGAATTAAAAATTAGCTATCAAACGATTCCTCATGTAATTTAGAGAACATTAAGGCAGATTCATTGTGGTTAACGTATTATAAAAATAGAGGCTTTACTAAAATTGATGGTATTTTGTTGTAAGTGAATGACATTATAGGTGTTCATTACTGTGGAGATCTAAGCAACAACATAATGGTCACCCAGTTCTCGCTGGTTTTCAATGATTCTATTACTTTTATCAGTCTGTGATATGTAAATTGTCTCGAAATTGTAAATAACTCTTCTCTAAATCAATTAATTATGTGATGAAAGTTGGTTGTGTCCAGTATGAAGGAAGGGTGCATTCAGGGCCTAATCAATTATTGTAAGCAAGGCTAACATCCTCTCGGCACCTTGGACGTTCAACATCCGTGCTCCACCGGCCTGCTGAGCCATCTACACCCGATGTCCACCCAGCAGCCGCACGTCCCACAGCTCCTCTCCACCGACAGCACCTGCCACATCCAACGCCACCTGGCAGAACACTCCACTCGATACCACCCCTCCGCACCGGAATGCCCCAACGACGTCGGCAGAACAGCACCCTTCCCCTCTACTGATTGGCAGCGACACCAAATGTAGTGAACAGAACACGGTTAAGGACAATCGAATGTGCTTGGTACAGAATCACAGGACTTGTTAATAAAATCTACCAATCATATAGTAAATGCTTAATTTGCAAAACGTCCATCAGTTGTTTCAAAACGACTCAGACGTTATTATCCTTGTATTTGCATACAAATTGCATTCTGTTTCCATTCTTTACTGTTCAGTCCTCTTGTCTCTCTGCTGCCAGACATTTTGGTTCCTGGCTAACTTCATATACTACTTATGTCGATATAAGTAGCACACACCACATTACTACAACAATTAACGAAAAAGGTTGGGAATAAACAAATGTTTGACTAATAAGGGTTTATTAATCCAGATTAAGTGTTCACGTGAGAGACCGAAGGCCTTAGTTTCGAGTCCCGCATGCAAGATCATGGATGCGCACTGCTGAGGGGCCCCATACAGGGACGAAACGGCTTTCCAGTGCTTCTTGGTTCTCAATGGTGGTCTAGCTTAGATTGACTCGTGAATTCAACTGTTAATATTAAATTAATAACTAGAAATTATCATGAATTACAGTTTCTCATTATGTCGTTGTTATTTTTGTTTTTAAAAACATTCACTTTCTAGTCATTGGTTCAGTTTGTGCAGCATTGGGTGTATTGGTGATAGCAGCAATAGGTACAGCTTATCAGAAGTAAGATTTGTAACATTTAAAAATATCTGTTTTGATTTATTACGATTGTCCATTAAACATTCTTTGTGTTTACTAGGTTGGTTGTAGGTTTTATACGTTTGAAACTTAGACAACATTATCATAATTTCAATGATGTTATACATCAATATTGATGATGATAATAATAAGATCAATATAATGAGATCGTGATTAGTTCGTTACATATTATTAAAATGAACTTATGTTAGAAATAAAACTTCTCAAATAATTAACTAAGCAGTGATTTCCCACCAATATCTTGATATTTAAAGATAAAATCATATTTATTTGTAATAAAATGTTTACTCTTTTAGCTAATAAAATCATGTATGAATAAACGAAAGGCTATTAATTGATATTTGATTGAAACTTTAGTGATCTGCACTATATGAAACTAAGACAGATGGCATTCTATTGACTATATCCAAATGATAAACACAAAATACATTGTTGCATAAAGTTTCATTCGATTTACTAGTAACATTGAGATTCTGGACATATGTAGAATTCGACGATCATTGACGCCATGTATATTATTTTATTATTTTGTTCAATTGGTAACTAATTCTTGCAGAAATATGTTTTCATGAAAAATTATTTCATGTGCACATTTCGTTGAAGCAAAATCATATCAAATAAATTAATGCAAAATCTACTACATTAATTACGACTCACTACTTTATCAACACTAAGTCAACTTGTTTATACTTTTATTAATATTTACATATAAATTCCGTAAATATGTTATCAGTGAAATGAAAATATACTTCATCCGTCAATTACAAGACCTAAACTATCAAGAAATTAACTTTTAATAAAATATTAATTGAAATTGTATTTTACACTTGTTTGCCTAACCATTATTCGTAACTATTGTCATCTATCTTATTCTTTTCCAATCAAGACGTAAACTATGGAAGCAAACCCGCTTGGGTCAAGATGAAGAATTTACATTAGAGAATTCAAATTTACCAGACAAAATGCTGTCACTTAATTCGGAGGATGATCGTAAACTTGCACAATCAGCACAAATGTATCACTATCAACATCAAAAGCAACAAATGTTAGCGTTAGAAAAGTTAGTCAAAAATGTTAATATTTTAATCAAAATCTATCTAGTTAAATTAATCTATGTGGATCTCTTGCCAATAGCATCTTGTCTACGAGATTAGGTTTGTGACAAATAGCAGTCTTATGATTACTTTATTCCTTATGATCACAAATGGTTTAGGTTTAGTTACAAATTAACTATATACCTCACATACATTTGATATGTGATGAGAAAATATATCTGAAAGCTATTGTGAAAAAAGACTATAATGATAACACGTTTCATAATCGATCCGAGCGTAATATTTTATGAATGAATACATTTGATCATGTTTTTCACCGACTAGCTGAATAATTTACATAATAGTGCATAATTTTAATTCAGAATATGAATAAATTTAAGGTACTATTCTGTCTTGATGAAAAAGTCGCTTAAAATCATCTTTCATTATTTCAAGTCCTTATTTCAAAAGAATTGAAAACCCATAATTTCTAGATTTTGCTTAAATTAAGAACTCTAGACACCTGAACAGAGATCGAATAATAAGAACACTGAAACAGAACACAGAACTTTGGAATATAATCACAAATTTACAAGTCATCATCGATTGCTAGTTTAAGAGCTCTATATGTTACATTTCCAATAGAAATGTATCACTTTTAAGAGTAAGTTCACTAGAATATAAACAAAAGTACTAAGTTAGGATCCAATATTTTTTCAAGGATTAATAAAATTTCAAATAAGTCTACCAAAAAACTTTCAGTAATTGACTTACAATTTGTTCATTATAACACCTATTCCTCCATTTGATCTGGAGTGGAGATTTCCTCTTTTAAAGAAGTTCCAAACTAAAGTTATTTCATTCTTCCTCGTTCTATAAGGATTTTCCAGATGATATAAAATTAGGATTCCGTGTCGGATCAATAAGTAAAATTTTCTATCTATACTTTTCTTTGCACATGTTTGCCACAATTAGTCACAAAAAAGTATCACCTAACATAGATTTGCATAGTTAAATGTAAAACCAATATTGAATTCATTCAATCAGTTTTTACACATCACTCACGATAGCTTAATCGCTTTATACAAACAATCAATATAATATTCAAACTATGTACAGTATGTAATTAAACAATATATTGGTTATGTGTAATTTGTAATCCATTCCATATGGATGGTTAAATAATTATTGTGTGTGCTGAATACCTAATTGTTAAGGTTCAGACTACTAGAAATCGTGAATCGAATTACGTTAAAAATCACACAAAGACTATAGGTGAGGATTTATTTGATACCTAAAAGAAACTAATATATATAAATGGAAATTGACTAAGTCATATAATTACCCCTTTGAAGATGTGATTGACTGTCACAGACGATTGAAAAAAGATCAGTTTCATATGTCACTCGCACTCTAATCAATTAAACATAAACTGACCATATCACAAATCTACCTAGTCGATTAGCTGCTACATCATTTGAATGATTGAGATAAAAAGTAAACTAAGTATACAGTGTTTAAAAATACTCGTTTTTACCTGACTCTCACAAAGAACATGAGAGATAAACAATATCTTGAAAACCCACGTCCACTCTTATACTTGTGTTTATATCTATGAGAATTGATTTATAGTTAATTTAAGTGAATTTCCATCACATAAATCATGCTAACTATATGTTTATGTATCAAAAAACCATCTACATTGTAGTTTTCCAAACAATATATATACAATTTATGGTTTATATGTCTTAGTTTAAAATGCGCTGATCCTAACTAAGATGAAAAACTTATTTATTTTTATTTATTTGAACACATAAACATTGTTATAAGGGGGAACCCAAATACATATACGCCACACAATAACAACGAGACCAGTAGCAGCTATCATTGATTTGAGTGAGCGCTGTGATACAGCCCGGGTGCCCAAACCGAAAGCAGATGATTTTCTTAGGGGGCCTAACCCAGAGCCTTTGACCTGAAGGCCTAATCCACAAGACAGTAGGGCAACGTCAGGAGATTCAGCCTCATGGTAGCCGGTGATCAACAATAGGTTCATGCACCTTTTTTTCCTTCATGATCCTGGAGCCCATGAGCAAAAATAGTTTTGAATCAGGGTTCTCCAAATCCCCTAGCTAGATACTCCATATACACCAACCCGGTTAAAGTGCCGGACATTAACCTTCCTTCCTCTCATTTGCGTAAACAACACCCTCACCGCGATAAGGCAGTGAGTAGGACTTCGCTGCCAGTGAATGTATACGCGTGGCCATGTGAGAGCCTTTCGAGTAGGTCCTTGGCCACACTAGCGTGTTTGGGGGGATTTTTATTTCATAATTTATATTATAAAAATGATTACACCGTTTCATTGTTAATATTCTGTCTTCACACTGAATTACTCATAAAAGTATTTGTGAACGATGTATTGATAGAGTTTATATTTTAAAAACTGATTTCCTACTTCAGATTTTAATAATAATTTCTATCAACATGAAATGAAGTGACTTTATGAAACTTAATCATGATACTTTTAAAAACCATTCAACCAGGGTACAATCATAATAAGTCGATCTACATTTGATTTTTTCGCAATAAACATACAAGCAAAAAACATCAAATAAATTTATACTTCACCCCATTGTACAAGCAGGTGGCTATCAGGACTCAGTAGCTAAGAAGATAACGCGATGTCGTTGAAGCGAACAGTACTGGGTCCATGTCCCGCATTGAACATCATATCTGGGATGCAGGTACATCCAGCTGACGAGTCCCCAAAAGGATGAAACGCACATTCTGGATTCCACTGTCAGCCACCATCCATCTTCGCTTCTAAACAAATCTCAGTTAATAAATGCTTTAGAAAATATTCGACTAAAATAAAACTATCATTCTGACAGTTGATTTTAATGCTAGTACCAAACAGTATAGCTATTTCACTTCGAGACTGAAGTTTAACCAATATTTGGTCAGGTTTTTTAAACAGAATATTCGTTTAAACAAAAAAATATAAAACACTGGATAATTGAGACGATAAATTTCGAATACAAACATACTGATGACTCAAATGTAACATGGAAATAATCACCTCTCAATATTGATAAACAGAATTTTAAAGTTATTTTACAGTATGTGATCAAGAATGATTATTCAAATTCAATAGAATCAAGTATCCATTCAATGTTTTCATTAGGAAGGAATGAACAATAATAATCTATTAATCTAGACTAACAATAATTAAGAATAGTGTTTTATTTCATAGCCCTTAAACTATAAATATCATTGATGCAGTCGAGCACTAAATAGACAAATTTCACATTTTAAAGTGAGAAATTTGTTATTCAGCAACCATATCACATCATATTCAATTGAGACATGAATTTTTAAAAGTCAATTCATTCAAGGAGTTACTATAGGAGTTACTGTTAAATAAGAACTTTCGTCTAAATTTGAACGAATGGTTCCACAATATTTGGGCGTTGAGTTAATATGAGACACTAAAGAGGAAGAATGTATTTGTTAAATATCAGCGAAACAATTCGAAGTAAATCCAATGTTTTGCCTGGCAATCTGGTCCAAGCTTTTTCAACGAAAATATAATCAAACAACAAAATTATTAATAGGAGTTACTATTATGTATTAATAATTATTATCAATGATAATCTGTATTTACTTCATGTTTATCTGATTCCCACCTCTTTGATCTTCACTAGTATTCCAGATAATGATAATCTATGAAAAGAATTATTACTTTTTAAATGGAAAAGAAATCGCCATAAATTTACTCATTAAAAGATTCCACAAACTTTCAATTGATCAGGAATGGTTGATCGTTAACTGTGTTTAAAAATGTGTCGATACAAATTGACATTTTTTGCTAAAGACAAATTTCCACAATATACCATTTGTCTCCAACTGAAAATATCTATCACCTAACTCTCGTGTACTAGTTTGACTGTGAATTGACAAAAAGAATATCAGAAGTTTTCAAAACTGAGATTTTTCACGGTAAAAGTGAAATACTACTGATACCTCTTAGTTTACAACACGTTAGTCAAAAGTATAAGCTTGTTGTGAAAATATGTTTTCGATTGATAGGACAGTTGTTTTATCATTGTAGTTGTTGTGATTAATCACTTAAATCACAAAATAAACCACTCTGATAGCTAGGTACTAACTGTAGGAAATAATTTACTACATACAAAATTCTAAACTGTTCCTTAGACTGTCGAGCACAGAGTTTTAGCTTAGCCGAAGTCAGAACAATAAGCTATTTGGCTTGATATATTCTATCGGTTTTAAAACATAAATTAACATTGTTAGTATACATAAAACAGATAATTTAGTACATTAGACAGGAAAAAGGACACTAACTGACATTAATTGGTTTTGAAGCCATCTAGGCACATGTTCAATGACCCTTGATTGCATTGTTCGATTACTCCTCCCCATATACATGTTCCACACATACATGTAAATTGGTAAATACAGTTTACTAAGTGATCCGATCAACGTGGGAGGTAGAAAACCAAGTTCATCGATATAATTGAAACGGGGCACAAAATTGACATTAATACAGCTTTAAAAAGTTGTTTAGAAACTGTCAAGGACTAATTCTCAGATTTATTAAAGCCTTGACTATTCATAAATTTAAACCCCCCTTATGTGTACAAAAAGAATTTGTCGTAACCTTGAATTTACCCTGGTAATCCTTAAGTCATTCGGTAGCTTAGGATACTGCGAAAATTTCTTATTCTTTCTATAAGATGTAAAATTGTTTCACTCCCGTTTGTTACCTTTTTTACTAGAACTTTCATTTAATTGATGTTTATTAATTTCCATATAAAATGCCCTGACAGGTATATGTGTGACCAGATTGTTCGGAATGTATAGCGCAAATACATCACATTTTTCGGATGAACTCCGTATTCTCATTGTTTTAATAAATATGTCATCCACATTGTTAATATCACGTAATTGCTTATCTAAGTTTATGATTATCGTAAAATGCTTACTATTAAAGATTATATAACCTTATATTAGGCTTTCATCACATATTTTATATACAATCACTGATGAACCATAAAATACACATTCTGAACTAGAACACTAAGTCTTATCAACTACTGTACTATTAGGACAGACAAAAGTATGTATGAATTCCAAGATATGTGCAAGCGACTACTTCTCTTGATATGATTAATATGACCTAGCGATAATTACTTATAAATGCAAACAGCTAACTCAACTCTACTATGAACGATATCAGAAAACAGAATAACTGATCAATAAAACAGAAGTCATTTTATATTAAAAAATTGCACATTTCTATATAAAGTATCTAACAAAAAATAAACATGAATAAAAGTTATCATAAAAACTAATAAAAATCAGATTCGGATGCTTCAAATCGTTTACTCATTTATGAATCAATTCATTTGAGAGTTTACAATTTAGATCATTTCTTTGTTCATTATATCACTGAGCCATTATGTTCATAAACGAATCTAATTTAAAAATGCCTAAAATTCCTTCAGTAAGTATTTTGATAAACTCTTTGTACTTTAAATCATTCGGAATGAAACTTTTACTCATCTGAATCTAGACTGTCTCTCAATAACACATTTAACTATATGACAATAAAATTGTTTGGTAAACAATGTAGTTTAAACTGTTGAGTAATAGAAGAAGAGTTTTTAACCGTTTTTAAAAGCTCAAACTAAATTCTCGTATCATTGAACTTCAAGCAGAAGTTGTGGCCACTTTATAAGCATAAATAATTATCACTTAAACATTAGTATATCAATCACTTAATCTCTGCCATAGGAAATTAGCTGAATTTACAGTGGATCAGAGATTTATGCACTTAATCTCCATGATAACACTGCTTTGAAAAAATCTGTTGTGATGCAAAGGAAATTTTGCCTTGTCTGAATTCGTCAGCTTTCGTATCCGTGAAATATGTTCATAAGATAGAGAATTACACTCATGGTTATGACGTAGCTTCCTTTGAAGAACTGTCCAGTAGCCGACCACCACCTTTGGGTAAGTAAAATCTGGACTTTCACATTTTTGTGCCCTAAAGGAAACAGACTCGAAATTATTCAACTTACCTTCTTCTTTGACGACCGACTATGGATACTGAAACAGTATTTCTGAGACCACGTTTGCCATTCAAACTGGCCACCTTCAACGTTCTCGCATTAATGCTGATCGGAAAACAGATAGGGTTGGTTATGTCTTTAGAAAGTCTCAACATTTATGTCTGTTGTCTATGCGAGACCTAGTGAAGTGCTACAAATTCTCTCTCTATCTGTCGCTTCGGAAAGCTTGTTTCACATGCGCTTATCCAGTGACTCTGTGGTATCTACCTCTAGTTTTGCTGGCGTTAGTTTCGCACTAAATGCCTGGGCTGAGGCAGCACTGGTCGATTGAATCCTCATTATCAATCCATTATAGTGCCCCTTTGTACTAATGTTTATTTTTTCAAGTAAATAAATAAAAACTATCAAAAAGATGTCGTGTGGATATTATAGTAATTTAATAGTTGAGTTCATGAGTTGTTCGCGCACGAGACTGATAGGTCCTATGTTCTTAGCCCGCTGTCAGGATCGCGGGTGCGCGCTGCTGAAGAGTCCCACAATAGGACGAAACGGCCGTTCAGTGCTTCCAGATTTTCCATGGTGGTCTAGCTTCAATTAACTCATGAACTCAAATAGAAACTACTTTAACGATGACTTCGACCATATAACGAACTTCGGCGGTCGCCTTACTGACATGAAAACCTAATATAAGACTTTTAATTCTGATGACATCACGAATTATGAAGTAACTTGATATCATTCCTCCATATTCCCAGCGTTTGCTCTCCACTAACGAAAAGTTACTATAAACAGCGTAGATAAAAGGATTGTTGAGAAATACATTTGTCCTTAACTCTTCCTCAGTAACATAACGTATTCCATTTACTACGTACATTTTCAATTAATAATACTATGTTTCCTATTGACTGTAATCTAATACAGCTTACATTATTAGAGCTCATTATTAGAGAAATGGTGGCTAATACCGTTTTTTATTAACTTTTTACGTATTAATAACCAGTGATATTAATTTCACCTCGTTCTTTCACATGGAACAACATATTTCACAGTTAGGAAGATGGATTGAGAAAAGAAATTTTTTTACCGTCTTAAAAGCTAACCACAGCATAATTAATTATAATCATCTATCATAGTATCAGATAATGTAGTTTGTGAATATATATCTAGCCAAAATGAAATAAAGTATTTTTGTTTATGAAATTATTCAATAACTCATTATTTCTGTACTGCTGTTTTTTCAGAGTTAATGATCATACTAGAATAAGTGATGAGGATGACAGTGAAGATGATGTGGATGAGGGAGATTTCACAGTTTATGAATGTCCAGGGCTCGCTAATGTAAGTTAGTCACATCTCTACCATTTTGTTGATATATCACTTGAGGATTTAAGTAATCCATTGTTCACCATATTTAAGGTATTTCTTAAAATATTGAAATAATTACTTAAAAATTCTAGAAACATCATAAAGTTAAGTGAAAGCAAATAATGTGTTTCATGTTATTAGAAAAAAACGAACCGCTAGTAGATCATCGTCAAGGAAGTATAAATACTCTAGAATAATATGTACCCCCCCTTAGCATTATCCATAATTACCAAACCTTTCAAAGACAATGAATGAAGTTATTATATCGTTTACTAAATAAAAACAGACGTTCTATACCTCAAAACGGAATACAATGTTTGATATACACCTAATGAAATGTGTTTGAATTTGAAAAAACACACATTGATTCTATCGTTAATTTACATTGATAACAAGGTATATTAAGTCATTTACAAATAGCACTAAGGTTTATTAGAAGCTTTAATCACCAAATGGATAGATTCGTAAATACTATTCGTTTACATCTAGTTTCAGCAAAAAAGGTTTAACCGATTATCACTATAAAAAAGTTTTACATGTTGCGCTTCTACAGTGAACTGAAAGTATGGTTAATCATCTGTATCGAATGATAATTCTCGCTTTCCATCACAAAATTTCTAGTCAAACTTCCAAGACTGATTTATAGAAAAAGTTTCATCATCATCATCATCATCATCAGAAATAATGATAATTTGCTACTCATACGTTTATATAAAAATAAACTAGGTAAATAATATTAGAACAGTGAAAATCTTTTCCTTTGTTTCTATCCGGAGTTATTTATTTATTAATAAAAGTTTCAGTTTGGTTTTGTACTCTCGTTCTTTTTATTAGTTGAATTCTAAAATTCAACGGTTGATAAATTTACATCAGAAACCAGTAAGTGAATTGTTATTATGACCTGTTAGAACAAGAACAATGAGTCAATAAAAAAAAACTACGATAATTTTAGTAATTTATAACCGGTAACAGAATAATATGAGTGTAGTTTGAAATATGTTATACAAAAAGTCACACGGTGTTTATTTAAAAAAAAATTATGTTATACCATAGTAAGTTAGAAACATTGCGTATGACCTTGAGGCTTTTACTCTGTTTATTTACCGGTGAATACACAAACTGCAAAGAAAGATTTCGGCAAAGTAACCAAACTAAGACGTATACAATGTTTGTACATGGTTTACTGACTGACCTAAATTCATAATTCGCTTAAAAATATCTAAAAATAAAAGTATTATCAGAAAAAGTAATGCCTAAATTACACTTGATCGGCTCTCACTCGATCCGAAAGATTCAATTTGGCTTACCCGTTCGAAATATGGACATTCATTTCATTCATTTCCATAGACTTTATCACGGACTGATCTCAGACAGCCATTGCAAACAAGAAAGTACATAAAAGCTGTTTCGTCATAGTATGAGGATCCTCAACGGTGCGCCTACGCGAACCTACAAAAATAACCGAGTTTGGCGACAAGTGCTTCACGACTAGACCAAAAAAACTGGCATGAAAATTTAAAATTTGCAGCAAACTATCATCACTTACATACTTACTTACACCTGTAACACCTATTCGTAAAGCATCGAACTCCCACCAGCATTCTCTATCCAGTTCTGTCCTCGGTAAATATATCCAGTTGTTTCCAGTTTCTATTCATGCTTTTGATGTCTACTTCCAATTATCAATGCACTGCGTTCTTTGGTCTTCTTCTTTTCCGTATCCATGCAGGATTCCAAGTTAGCGCTTACTTCGTGATGCATAAACTCACACCAATATTTCACACATATTGAAAAGATAGATCATAATCAACTAGTCAAATGAGTGTTCAGTGGATAAACAACAGTCACTAACCTGTTTCCATTTTATGTGACCATTATTGATCGCGTTGTGTCACCAAAATAACAGTTGATTGATAGTAATTTGATATGCCCATCACGAAATTATCACTAATGAGAACAGACAAAATCAAGAAGTCAGTGTCTTTTAACTTCAATCAATTACATCTCATCAGTTTCTCATTTGTGAACAAAGTCACGTTCGACACCTCCATTATTCAGAAGGGTTTAATTGTTCTTTTATGAATTATGATGGTCGGCAATATTTAGTTTTTCTAACGTTTATTACTATTTTGGTGTCAGTTACTTCAAATGTACATACGCACGTATAATAGTTTCCAATATATTATACGGCTAACAAATTAGCTCTTCTGCTTGTGTCTGTTATCCTATTAAATTGTGCTTCTCATACTAGATAGTTAAGACAATGTGAAAAGCTGTTGACACGACTGATATGAAGAACAAAGTGGATTCTAATTCCATCAAGTCATCGACATTAATCCAAACCGCATTCGTTACATAGCTCCATGCTATACTTCTTTGATGTTTTCCGAAAGAAGTGAAAGTAGTCATTTTCACTGAAATGATTCTTCCTTATCAGAACTGTTCACCTCCTCAACTTCGAGTCATAACTTTTAACGAGTGATTCCATGTTTTCCCATTGACTTTCGAGTCACTCAACTTCGATAGTCAAACACCTATCATTTAGTATCATTCGAGTAAGCACGTTTTGATTACACATACTAGGTGAGACGAAATATATACATTAACCAAAATTTAGTGTATTGAGAAGCAATATTCGAGTAAATAGTAGCAGATCGTTGCAGAGTGATCAGTTTAGGCTGAAAAGTAATATGGATCTTGGTGGAACTCAGACGACATTTCTTTCAACTATCAATTAGGTTTCAATTTCGTTGACACGTATCCTGTCACGAGCAACGATTGTTCGCTCCGATTGGCATATTCACATCAGACTATCAAGTTGTACTTCTGACCTTGACATCACATTTTATTGATTATTCAGTATGAAGACACCTTGTTTAATCATAAGACACTAATTAGTAGGACTAACACGAAAATACACATATATTCGAGTGATTTTCATTTTGTTTTTTTCTCATGAAACAATACTGAAACCTTTAAAAGTCAGATAATTCATTCAATGTACCAACGAAAATGAATGATCATACGCAACGCTCAGATGTGAATTTACTTAACATTAGGTCACTTGTTGATGGCTAATCAAACATAGATTATTGATTTTCGAGTTGAAATTAATCCGATCAATAATATGTGAACATGTTTTATTGGAGAGTTATGTGACATGAACTGTTGTATATTCATTTTATGAAACCACTGGAGAGGTTCCGGACACGTGGGGATTCACAAATTCCTGTGTCCCTGTCTCGTTTATTGGAATTACATGTCTTTGTTTGTGAATTGTGATTTAGATCATTTTCCTTGAATGATTTCGATCTTCATTCTTCAACACAATCTGAACGATAATTTTCAGCAATAAATACAGATTAAGATGACACGTGGTCTATGTGCATACACATTTATTGTTTATAATGATTGGGTAAACAATATTTATCATGATGTAACTTACTGATTCTGACTTTGGTGGTAGATCTTGTAGTGTTTTGCTGTACAAAAGTAGCTTGTTTCCCTGTTTAATACCAATGTTCCTTGAATGAGTCAAGTATGTTATTGGTTGAGAACGTGTTTTCAAAAGGATATTTCACATCATTTTTCAAAAGTCTAATTATTTTAGACTTATGTACGGGAGTTGTGAACATGGATGTAAGATGTAATGAAACCATGTGTCTGGTTCGTGTTTATGTCGTGATCGTCACCAAATCACAGAACAGTTGGAGAGGAAGTTCTCAAAGTTCATTACATTGAAATGTTTGATTGTAGGCTTTTCATTATGAATTTCATAAACAGTGAAACGCGTACATTTTCCACACGTCGATAGTACATTATTTGATACAGTGCAAATTTGACTGATTACTTGAGTGAACTACTAACTGGTTGAATAACGTTTTTGTTACTTTATTGCAGTCCATCTAAGGTGCGTCTTCATATCCGCTCTCATACTCTGAAATATTCACAGATTCCAGATTGTATAGATTCTATTAGAATTCACAACAGACGTATTTTTTTTAAATAGTTATCGTTATTATTCACACGTTTCATAATTCCGTTTCATTTAAACAATCGTAGTTACTGACTATAAAAAAGGTTGTTTACATATGACCCTGAACCCTTTGGGTACTCACACTCCGCTTTTGGTATACTGATTGTTGTTCTCAATATCATACCATATTATAGTACTGTTTTTTCTTATTTGCTCCGTTGCCATATTGACAGATCATTAATGTAACTGTTATATGTACTCACAGATAATATTTTTCTCATTACTGGATTATATATAGTATGTTTGGATTATACGCTATACTTAGGAATTATTGATTACACATTATAATTGTAGATTTAATGACCGATCCAACACTCCATACCCAGCACTTAACGAGGAACGTACTAATTTTACTTGTATAGTTCTAGACTGTGTATCATTATCTAATTTTATACAATATTATTTAATACGTTTGTTACTATATATGATAATTGTATTTTTAGTCTGCCACAACTTTAAGGTAAGAGCGATATTTCTTTACTTCATAGTATTATCGAGTCTGTCCTAATTGTAACTGATCAACTGTTAAATATAGTATTTGACAATAACAAACGCCATGCCACTATTTTACCGCTTTAAGAAGTCAGTTGAACTAGACAACCTGGTGTTCTACAACAGGACATAGTAACGACATTAATCCAATAAGTGTTACACCGATAAAAAATAAATCAAATAGTTTCATTTACCACATATTGTAAAACATTTGAAGACACCTGGCTTGGTTGAAACATTACTGTATCTATCTAATCCAAACTTCCAACTCCATTGAATACTCGTAACAGTAGATTTCAAAATTCTATCACACTCTATCAAATTATCATTGAGATAATTTAATTAAACTAAATTGCTCCTTCTTAATACTTACTTATTTTAATAGACTGGTGAAATCGAAGTCGAAAATCCTTTCTTCGATAATAATAATAATGATAATAATGAAAAGAATAATAACGATATTGATAATGATAATGGTGGAGAGAAAGCGTTGAATACAAGTGGTAGCTCAGGTGAATTGATTGGTTGCAGTGATTTAGATGAGCACATTAGTGACTGTGTCAATAATGGATTTGCCGACGAGTTTAGTAATCTAACAACAAATACCACCACCAGCGGAGAAGTAACATTGATTACTACAACTACAACCACTGTACCAACACCGATACAATCAGAGAAATCACATGCAGCTAGTAAATAAGTTGTTGTGGAACGAGAATTAAATCAACTCCAATATTTAATGCTAATTATTATTTTCATTGTGTTTTTGCATGTCGTCTGTTAATGTGATTTGTGTAACAGATTAGATAATCTTTTGAAATTCTACAATCATTCATATCATTTTCCAACATAACAAATAGCATCATTGGTCACTTGTAACGTCATCCAGTATACATTGAAGTCTTCGAAGCACATTTGAAGTATGGTAAAGTACATAATTTCTTTGTGATAGATTTATCCGGAGACGTTATTTTTCCCTTCAGGATACAAACTTTTCCCATATTTATACATCATGATTTGAGGTTTTTATCATTTCGTTTGCTGTCACAGATAACAACATGCTAAACATGTCAATACATTTTCGTTTTTATCAAAATTCATACATTTTCAGACACTACATATTCAAAGTTTAATGAAAATTTATTCATTCCAAAGTACTTGTCGAAAAGCCAGTTATTTTTCTAAATTTTGAATACTGTACCAAGTATATCATCCTCGCATTGTGCTGTTTGTTTGTTTGGCTTATCTTTGCTTACATCACTTTTCATCAATGTTCTTGTGCGTATATGCGTGCATCTCCGTGTAGATTCTTGTTTGTAATAGGTAGTAATCTGTTGTTCGGTTTAATTCGTCTTGTTACTTCAAACCACCTTTTGCTACCATGAAATTGTGTGTCTCCCGTAATCATTAGTTGAATGCTATTTCTCAAATAGAATAAATGATTCCACAGGATTTGTCTTCATTTTCATAATTTAATTGATACTAGTTAGTAGTTGATAACAGTGAATTCTATGAGGAGAATATGGCATAGGTCTATGAAGTCATTAAATATTGGACTGAGTTGTGATAAGAGATCCAGAGTTCTGGTTGACTTCTGCACGATAATCATAATCAATGGTTAGAGAACTTAGGTGGTAAAAAATCGGTTAGAGTAGGATATTCATATTCGTTTCGTAATTCTTTTAGATTTTACATCTTACCATCATTACGTAATTTTATTTCATATTCTTACCATGAATCAAACCTAGTTTAAATGACTAGCTGATGTGAGTATACAACTCCGTTTTCAGTCTATGCTTAATTGGATGACAACATCCATGAGTTCATTTTTGGCGGTCACACAACGAACCAGTTGGAACAAAGTATGCGCAACACGACTTGATACTGTTTTAAAAATCTGACCTTACATTTTTTAAATAATACAATTAAATTTGATGATATCTTGCAGTTGAATATCTTCTGGAAAAATAGAAAATTATTGATTTTGATGAATAACTTATTATTACTTCTTACGATACTACATATCCCATTGAGTGGATGTTAGCTTCCATAACCTTTCCACATTCATTCAGAGCTCAATGACAGGACACTCAAAGAAATCCGATGGGTTTCCGAACCAACGTTGAGCTCATAGATCAGATATTCACCATACAGTAGATTCAGAAACATAGGCATATCTACTAGAATGTGACTGTGACCACTTTTCTTGACATGATACTGGCACTCAACTCTGTCGACTGAGAGACGTTGTGGAAGAGTATGTATTGAAAGGTGCATTAAATAAGTACGAATATCATTTAGAATCTCTTTATTTATAAACCATTAGTTGAATCAAAACTTACGGTGGGCTGATATTTGAATTGGCCTACGAAAGTGGCATTCATGTTCGACCTTTAGGTCGAACGCTCCGGGCGTGGCCACTTAAGAAAACCACTTCCTTCCGTCTTGGCACCCGGCCAGTATCACATCCCACACACAAATCAAGTGACCTGTGTGGCACAGATGTATTCGGTGCCTTATTTATATGTTCAAATAAATAAATTGAAGCTTTGTCGGTTGGATAACTAGGCCAATAGTGTTGAAATAAGGCATAGGATACCAGGTAAAAATGGTGGTAAGTTGATTGATGGTACTATGAATAGAGTGAAATCACCGGAAAAAGTGCTACACAAGCTTAGTCAACGAATGTTCTGACTTGCTATGATGCTTATCGTTGAAGTAGTCTAAGAAAAGTGACAAAGCAAAATAAAGGAATGACATAGGCCTGTCTTTGCTGTGATTTACATCCACACCACAAACGAAATCTATAATTGGTGATTATAAGTGACGTAACTTGACGTCAATCTCAGTGGTACAGAGATACTGACATTTCATCTTGCCCTAGATCCCAAATTTTATTATCAGTTTATACTTACCCTTCCTGAATTTTATATGTTCCGTTCCAACCATATTTGTCATTTCGTTCACCAAATACATAGTGATGTTGTTAGTTTACGTTCTTTGTTTTTACTATCATTAGTTTCCTCCCACCAAGTACATGTAACGTTTAGGGACTTAAACTGGTCCATATTAAACGCATACCTTATCATGTTTGTTATTGATCACTGAGTGATCTCTGAATACATGTAATACTATTCAGTGGTTTCCATACGTTGATGTAGTTGTGTGTGGGAAAATAGTATGAAATCTGAACAAAACCTCTGAAGTCGAATGTTTGTAACTTGCTGATTTGGTTCTGTGAAAGCGTACTGCGGTATTTGTATGAGTTAATGATTCTTCCGTATTTGATGGCCCGCTGATTGCGAATTCCTAATATTACACATTCATTTGTTCTCATCTAGTTCTACTTAGAGTAAATTGCACCATTTCGGGAATTCCTGGTTTTTACATGAATTCGAATACTTCTGATCATCATAAACACCTCTTGTTAGGACACTAAGACAACTTAAGTATTTTTCTGTTAATTCTCTGATGAATCTAATTTTGCCACTGTTGTATAGTAGTTCATATAGATTTTCACTAAGTGGGAAGTGAATAAGAATACCTAATGGACGGTAATTGTTTTATGCCATAGATTCACCGAGGTCGAAAAATCCCTAATATTGAATGTTGATCTATTTGATGCAATATTCGAGCATACTGTGCTTGAATCGATCCTTAAGTAATCGATAGTATGCGTCATTACAGAACAACTAAATAGAAGGATATACAGTTCACTGGAATGGGTATGCGAGAAAATGACCGAGTTGAAAAAAGAGGCTCACGAACAGAAACTTTAAATGTCCAGTACACCTCATTTACCTGGATAAAAGCTTAATCTTGTGAATGGAATAAATCCACTCGACTTTTCTCTGGATGAGCTGGTTGCTTGAACTATAGCTCTCTATAAACCCCACCAGTTGATTGTTGGTTCTGATCAATAGTCACCGAAACACCTGAGTCACTAAGTGTTATGAGTTAGCATAGGACGCCATCTTTTAGAGTTAGATACAAACCTAAGGGGTAGCCACCACAATGGATTGGAATGAAAACTTGTATACTCCAATCACTTTTGAGAGAATCAATCAAGTATCGACTGAAACAAAATTAGTGAAGTGAAAGACTACTATGATCATTATTTTAAAAAATGTGCATGACATTTTAAATCGCCAAATGAAGCGTTTTTTATCAACTTATTTCTAGGAAATATTACCGATAACTGTGAGAACTTTGCCTGAGATCACAAAGATGCATAAGATATTGTTAAGCAGGATGTTAAGAACTTAATGAAGTCTGTCTACTCACAGCTACATAATTATGGCATTATTCGGAAACAAACATCACTTGGTCAGGATAAATTATTAGGATAAACAGTGTCCAATCAACTAGGCTATACTTAACATTTTCGCATTTGCTGATTATTGAAGTCATACTTTTTTCATGAAATCAGGTTAGTTGATTGGTTCTTTAGTGTTAATTTGTTTTCAGATGTCTTGATCATGGATATACTATCCTAGCATGATAGCCTTAGTTAAATCCGTTTGCTAACGCATATTATCAATAAAATAAGCAAAAGTATATTAAATGAACCATCATTGAAAACGGTTTACATGCTCAATGAGTCCTGTTAGCTTGTCTGCTTAATTTTCATTGGTCACTTGTTCACAGCCAATGAGATACTCAATGGATTAGCGAATAGAAATGAAATGTTTACAGCTTAAACAATGCAGTAGTTGCACTATTGGTGGATTTATTTACCAGATGACTATTTAAGTCAATGCTTAGTTAGCTTGCTTTTTATGTCTACCTGTACAATGACTGGTGAACACGTAAAGGTAGGTTAGGTTGGTTGTTTTTAGTCACTTGTGTCCATTGCTGGGTTTTCGAGTGTTGTTGAGGTTCCCAATTGCAGTATTAGGTAAAATAAATGTTATTTACGATATGAAAGTAAATACTGAGTCATATCGATTGCACAGTAGATCTGTACACATAATTAGCAGTGATTTTTCACCTCATCAACCCACTAAATTACGTGTTCAGACAGAGTTCTGATATGATGCTGTTTTAAGAAAAGTTAGGTGTAGTATTTCAGGAAGTGTTATGGTTTGCCTGTGACATTGCTGCGAGAACCTAGAGGGTTCTAGAGAGTGAATCCATCTGGTCCATATTTCAGAAATATGTAATCCATGGAACAGTTATCTGTTATGTGATGGTTTTTCTGAAGTGGTTAGGACTTGGATGATAAGACTGTTTTCAAGCGAAAAGTGATGTGAAACACTAAGCTGTAGTTTCTATAGGTTATCTATTTTAACGGACGCGGACGAGCTGAATCGATCCGGATGACACTTGTGGCAGCTGGTGTGAACTACGAAGATGAGAGAATTAGTTTCCAAGATTGGCCGAAAATCAAACCAACTATTCCGGGCGGACGATTGCCTGCAGTGAAAATCACCGATAATCATGGGCACGTGAAATGGATGGTAGAGAGTTTGGCTATTGCACGGTATATGGCGAAGAAGCATCATATGATGGGAGAAACAGAAGAGGAGTATTATAATGTTGAGAAGTTGATTGGTCAGGTGAGTTAAGCGTTTTACTGATTGGTGGAATTTTATGCTGTTGGAGTCGGGTGAGTTCAACTTATTGCGTCGAATAAATGAAGTTTAAATTTATAGGCGAGTGGTAACTAATGCGTTGTGATTACTAAAAATCATGATAAATTTGAAATATTCCAATTATTAAAAAAAAGTGACTAAGACTGAACTTTTCTACCAATTGGAATATTACAAATAAACTACTTATCTGCAGTATCGTAATAGTGTTCACTGGAAAATACTTCGTCGTGTTTCACTTTATTTGTTTACATCTCGACAATACTTGTTGTTCTTGTGACATTCTATACTGGATTCTCCTTTTATGTAAGTACTTAGCTAAGTGTCAACGTGTCTGAAGGGAGGACAGGCAGGTTAACTCGTGTAGGTTGTTGACCTAGAGATGGCTCAGCACGGTCTTGAGGCATTATCTCACGTGGCTCAGAACAGACGCAGTGGCGATCCTGCTGTAACTTTCTTACACTTCATTAAGGCGGGAGTAATTGAAGTTCTTTCTTCACTGGACTGCCTCTCCCATTATTATTAGTCATTAGTAGTAGTGGTATTAATATTATCGACAGATTAACGTGCCTATGGGTAGTCCTGCGACGATTTAACCACAAAAAAGGATTTGCATAACTTAATCACTTAGCAGGGACTCAAATAGTCTCATATTGAAAGGAAAACTAAAATAAGCTATCAATAGAACGTTTTATGCAGCCCAACTTATCATTACCGAAAGTCAAGGTTTGTGTTTCACCAAAAACCCAAACAGCATGTAAACGGTTGTTTCACATCCTATTGTATCTGTCAATTTATTTATATGTATGGAATCACGTACATGGGGAGTATTAATCGTGAGCTGCAAGTAAGGGCGTATG